ATAGTCAGGGGAAGGTGAATAATGGTGAAGGGGAGCCCGAACACGCAAAGGAATGCCACGAGTGGTGGAACCCCAACACAACAGAAGCAGCACGCCTGCGGTTTGCTTATGCCCTGGACTAGATACCACGACTTTTTACATCGACAACGGCGGCGCAATGAGTGAAGTCATGTTCCATGTTGAAGAGCGTGGAAACGGCAGAAAGCATGAAGTTGTGTAGCCAATGGTGCGAGCCTATCAACACTGGGACCCAAAGAAGGTCGCAAAACTCCAATTACTTGGTTGGTAGGAAGTGACGGGATATAACATATAAGGATCAGATAGGGATTACATGTCTTCATACTCTGCTATATAACCCCAACATACCCTGTTATATTCTAGCGGTTTCCATTTGGTGTTCCATAATCCCTACATTCCGTTCTTCCCTACTAACCCTAGACCCTAAATCCTGAACCCTGTGTTAGCTTCCCTTCTTCCCCACTAACCCCCAGTAAGAGGATGAGCTGGCCAATTCGTCTTTGGTATGCCCGAGCCCAGGACTCCTCCTCCTCCTAAGAATTACAGCGCAACGCTCTTATCCTAACCTTTAGTAGTAGAAATAACGGTAGCGGTAATAACAATAATAATGGTAATATAACATTATACCAGCAATAACAGTAGCGTTAAGATTTTATTCGTAGTCATAGTAATCACAATGTAATAGACAGGGCCCACAAATTCGCAAATGGGGTTGCAACTATGCCAAACAATCTTTCTGTTCCATGAAGTGTTTCGTGGCCATACTACAGATCATTACAAAGAATGACGCAAGAACGTCCCCAGCCGTGTCAATCGTCACGCCTGATTCCACTTGATCGCGCAGGCAGTGCTTCATCACAACTGGGGAGGACCGCCGCCAGCGCTTGTAGCAAGATCTCAAGGACATACGCTTCACCAAGAGGAATGCAGTTACCAAAAGCATCACTTCAATGATGAGTAGTACCGGCCTTTGTGCTAATACTTCTCATTCTTCTTGTGTCTACACTGATCACCGTATTCACATAGCTGACGGGCCCCGGAGCGCGCAGTTGTTGCTGGGATTTGGGGGTAGCTGTTCTGTGATTGGCGTAAGCGAATCAGATGCGAGCGCTCAAAGAGGGGAAAAAGGTGTTCAAATCTTGATTTGTGATTGCCTCCTAGGTTGTGAACGACGCTCTAAAAAAACAGCCGTCTCTAGTTCAAGATAACTCTGCTTGTCCCTGCCCAGGGACCCATCTCTAAGGAAGCCTGTGCGCAGTGTGTTATCATAAATTGACGTACATATCATCTGGGCTCGTGCTGGTGTACCTCCTGAATACAAGAATCCGTATGAGAGGGGCCCCTGAAAGGCTTCCATGTTCACACACACACACACCCATCTGAATCACATGGTGGACATCTTAAACCCTAAGCCCTAAATGAGCCAAGGTCATCCTGATAAGCCGAGCCCTGAAACGTCTAACTACATACGCCCTCCCCTTCACCCAAAACTAGGGCTAGGGAGCCGCAACAAGGGGCGGCCCATGAATATGAGAACCTCCCTGGTGGCCTTACCTGCCTAGACCCTCCAGGACTCCACCCACTCTCTATCAGGTACCCACTGTTAGGGGCCATTGATCCCAAGCAAGGGTACCAGGAGGGTCTAGGTACTTAAATGCCCATATCATCCCAGTTCCCATGCCATGTTCAACTTCTTTCCAGTTGATTCTCCATTCTTGGGATAATATCCATAAACCCTGGTAGCCTTGCCCCTAGGTTGGGTACTGCCCCCCAGTAACAGTCTATATTAGGGGTCCTATTAAGGGCTATATATAACCATATTATACTTATTATCCAACTGTTACTGGGGGACCCTAAACCCTAAACCCAAAACCCTAAACCCTAAACCCTATACCATATTATACTTATTATCCAACTGTTACTGAGGGGGGGCAGTACCCAACCTCTAGGATTCCGCGATCATTGTCTTCGATCTCGTTCAAGAGCAGGCTAGGGCTCAGACATCAACCTGGAATTGGGTTTAGGGGGTTTAGGGGTTTAGGGTTTAGGGTTTAAGGGTTTAAGGGTTTAGGGTTTTAGGGCTCTAGGGCTTAGGGATGCTTAGGGGTTCAGAGTTTAGGGTTTAGACTTTAGGGCTTAGGGCTTAGGGGTGTAGGATTCAGGAAACCTTTGGAGTCAGGGTGGACATGCGCTAAATGACATTCAGAAGCTTTGCATTTTCGTTGAGCTTTCCTCATTCAAGGTTTCTTCTTTGGAACCCTATATGCTGCAACCTTAACTACCAGGCTTAGGGTTCCGCATGCCCTGACATGCTCTTGTTTGTTGTTATATTCGCGTTCGCAAATCTGTGAGGTGGGTAGGCGCAGGGGTGTTTTCCAGGAGCAGGTTAGAACAACGTCACGTGGCTTCAAGCCAAATGTTTGGTTATGCAGAAGCAGCGCTGAGATTGCCCTATGTTCAAGCTTTGGAATGACAGAGTTTGGGCCAGCTTCTTGTGTGTGTGTGTGTGTTTGAGAGAGTCTTGAAGTTGTTTTCACCCAGAGCCAAAGGCCGTCCACCGGCAGGAGATACTTTGCAAGAAGCTTTTAAACCTTTCTGCCGCGCACAATTGCTGATGGACACAATCCTGCATGACCCTATGCACCTTTACCCTGGAAAGTGGTCATGGTATCTAGATTCATGCAGCGTTTCGTGCATCTACAGGAACAACACTTTCCTAGACGACAGCATCCACTCGAACAAAAATGATGTTCTCAGGGGGCATTTTGAAAGCCGATTGCCTGTATAACCCTAGGGATCCAAGTATACAAAATGATACCTACATTGGGCCCCAAAGGCTGTAAATATTAGCTACATTGGGGCATTTGGATCCCAAGGGTAAGGAACCGTCCAGTTAGCACAAGGTGGCGAAATGAGGGTCGGTTTAGGGTTCAGGGTTTAGGGTTTAGCGTATACCCTGCATACTACCCTCATCCTCCGACAATATTCTGGTTGTCAGAAAATATCGGAGTTTCCAGAAATCGGTGGACCCAAGATATACACATATACCGTAATTCCTCATATACTATAGTCCTTATTATAGGGGCCTTAAGGAGGATCCCCTTCACGACTGGTATAGGAGGGGCCGGTATGTCAGGCTTGCCGGCTTATCTTCCTTCATAAGAATCTTCTGGGCTGGCCTCAGCTATGTTCGCTATAAACCCTAGGGTTTAGGGTTTAGGGTTTAGGGTTGCCTAAACCCTATAAGTAGAGTGATATATCTGCAGCTGCTCAATACTGCTAACCTCTCTGTGACAGATATGCCAGACTTGGCGTCGCAGGGGCTGGTTCGACAATCCTGCTTGCAGACACGTAGAAGTTGCACTACCTCTGGAGAAATGCATTCAACCCTGAAACACTCGCGTTGCTGTGGACCGTTGCTTTCATTACCATTCCGGAAGTTCTGGCTATGCCTGTGCAGACAGTGCAGGGAAGACCTTTTGTTCGAGAGTTTTGGGAGCGAGCCGTTTGGTTTCGCCTGTGGGTAACATTGGCACAAGGCCAGTATAAGACTTCCGCTAGTTTGAGCACATACTCTTAGCGATCCTAATTGGCAATCTCTCAAAATAAGGGAACCCCAATGTAGACTCCAAAATATTATAGTCCTGATTATGGGGATCCCCAAAACGGTACCCCGAATTGTAGGAAGCCTCAATTTAGGCCTCAGGCTCGTGCAAGGATCAATTGAGCTACAATCTAAACTCCTTCAAGGGGTCATATAGGGGAGTGCAATAGGGGTTAGTAAGGAGATTATAGGACCCTAGGGCTCCAGTCACCTAACAAGTAGGTTACTGGGTTATGTAACTATAGGGCATATAGAACCCAGTTCCCATTATAGACCCTAAACCCTAACCTTGGGGGGAGATTACATTAGAGCTCAAAGGATGTCGGAAAACGCAGCAAGGGCCCTCTTGGGGGCGTTACCTTTGAGCTCTGAGTTGGGCTTTTACTGGGTTTGCTGAGGTGGACCCCCCACCCAGTAATAGTGACTATAAGGGATAATAGGGATTATATTAGGGTCCTCTTATATTCTTATTATATGACTATTACAGGGTGGGGGGTCCTCCTAATGGGTTGCTTTTAAGGAGCTTATATGAGTTATAGTCTAAACACCTTAAAGGGGCTTATATAGGGGATGATATTGGGGAGTATTGTAGGGGTTATTAAGGGGGATACTGGGAGTTTAGACTGTGGTTCATACAAGTATGTTCCCTCGTCCATAATGTAGGGTTTAGGGTTCAGGGTTTAAGGTCGAGGCTTTTTAAGTTACCATAATATGGGTATACATAAGATAACCGGTTTTTTTAGTTATAGTAACTTAGTTTAAGGCCCTTAGCAGCATTCCAGTTTACCTGCCTCTGAATTTCCTGGCTCAACTGCGGCTCGTGGCATGTCGGCTGCAAGGTCAGCGTGCCAGAGCCTTCAGCAGGAATTTGGGCATCTATCAGGAACGTTTTCTCCTCAGAGCCTCCGAAAGCCCGTGAAAAATGTAAACCCTAAACCCTAAACCCTTAACATACTCTGCGCCGCAAAAAGGCACTTAAACCAAAACTTACTCCGTATCTCAGGAAGCCAGTGCCCTGCCCAGCAGTGGCCATTTCTGACATTGTAACTATTCTACAATAGAAAATCGTAGATTAGAGTATATCTCCAGCATATTGTGGGGGTAAGAGACAAGAACATGGAAACGACTACATCATCATCAGGTGTGTGTATATATATAGGGCTTATAATAGACCCAAGAACAAGACTATGCATATAGTCTTCTGCCCAAGGTCCCCTAGCCTTCTTTCAAACGTCCCACACCTACAAAGCCAAAAGGAAAAAGACAACCGGTGCCTAGTTCTCATCACTGGGGCCCATCTCTGATTTTCAGAATAGGATTCATGGTTTAGGGATAAGGGTCCCTAACACAAAGCACCCAAACCTGCGTCGGTGAAGGTATGACCGTGCAAGAGTCGCAGGAGCGTCAGGGACTGCTTGCGTCAAGCGAGATGTCCCAACAAACCACACCCGTCTTGGGCGGCATCTTCGGCTAGAGCATCAGAAGCCATGTTGCAGTTTGGGTGTAGCTGCAGTTTGTCTACCCTATGATAATGTAGTAGTTTCCATTTTCATTCTATTATCCTTAGAATATACTAGAACATACCATAGTCTACTATATTCTACGATAAAACATACTGGAATATCTTATAACCTACTATATTCTATTATGGATAGTTAGGGGGCTGCATCTGGTTCACTGTATGATTGTGGAAGCTGTAGCAGATTCATGGATGGAAGCTTTGCCGTAGCAACGGGTATAGAGCACAGCGCAGCGAATATGCTGCTGTGCGAGGTCACATCTATGGACTCTATGGCACGTTAGAACAACATTGCGTCAACAGAAGTACTCGTACTTTCCTCTTCGGGTTGTAGCAAGCACCCCCCAATGCCCTGTCTTCATGTGAGCCATAGTCTTAACTCCTTAAAGGGGATTATATAGGGGACTACTATATGGGTTATCCAGGGAGACACTAGGAGTTTAGACAGTTGCTCATGTAGAATGAGGCCCTATTCAAGGAACACCTCCTAGCCTTCTCAAGCCTGCCAGGTGCACTAGTCTCGTGGAACATGTTTTGGTTTGTGGTGCTTCCGACAACCTTGGTGGCGATGGTGCTTTTCATCATCTTCGGTCTCTGGCCGGTGTCAGCTGCCATTGCCTGGCTTGCTGTCATCTATGGAGCCTTCCCTGAACTTTTGTGGACTCATTGGGGCGTAGCTTTTTCCAACGTGTCCCCCTGTGCTTGCGAAGCGGTCAGTACCTACAAATTATGTGATGGGCTTCTGTTTCAACTTTATTTTACAAACCACGAAGGCCTTGACCATCCGAATCCTACTGCTGAAGTCCACATACCCCTCTCCATACCCCAACTTGTTCTTTGCAATCCTGTATGAGGGACCCCTACTCTTAATCTTGCGTGAGCCCACAACCCATATCATAATTGAATTCATCGCTTGGTTCATCCCTAAATCCTAAACACTGACAGCAGACTGTCCATCCCTCAACCCTAAGCCCAAACCCTAATACCCAAAGCCTAAGCTCTACATCCCAAGCCGAATCAGCTGAGGAATCGTGGAGCTGGTCATCATCCTCTGCTTCAAGAACAGCTTCTTCTTATGGGCGCTCCAAAGGTCACCCCTGGGTTGAGGGTTTAGGGCTGAGGGTTTAGGGCGCTCCGAAGGGTTCCCGTGGTTTCTGGTTTCCGCTGCGAAAGAACTTACGGTTCAGGCTTCGTGGTTCAGGGTTTAGGGTTCTTGAATGCATGCCTTTGATATAATGACATTATGTATTAGGGGCGGGAGGGCTGGTTGTTTGGGGAGATGGTGCTATTCTCCAAAGGGTTTTGAACATGCAGTCTATTTCAAGCCCAATCGGGAAAGTCAATGCTGTATATTTCAACCCAATAGGGAATATCAACATCTCATTGCCACTGGCACCCTTATACAGCACAGTTTTCATGAGGGTTTAGGATTGGTGGTTAGGGTTTGGGGCGTACGGTTTGGTCCTTCAGGTTTACGGTCTAGAGTGTGTGGTTGAAAACTTGGGTATTAAGGCTTATGTATGTGATGAACCCGAAACCCATAAACCTGGCTTCAGGGCTTAGGGCTGAGAGTTAGAGGTTTGGGGATTAGGGTTAGTGAGTCGCGATTCGGAAGCTGGCCCTTGAAGCCTGGGGTTTAGGGTTTAGGGTTTAATTTGGGGTCTAGGGTTTAGGGTTAGGGCAGGGCCGTAGGGATATCCGTAGGGATTAGACGGGATTGTAGGGTCCGGGTAATTGTATTGGAGGACTTGCGAGATGATTCTGGGTTTGTTTTCTGAAGGAACTCAAGGCAAAGTTACCGCAGAAATGGATTTATATCAGATCGTTTGCTCTCCTCGAAAACACCAGTTAGTCTAAAGTTCCTTACAAGCAACCCGCGAGATTTTTTCCTCTTTTCTTGGAGTTGCAGGCGGCTTGTGTGGGACGGTGTCCAAATGAAGGGCTTTATGCGGGAGATGCCTGTTGTATGGCACAGCCACATCACATGTAGTACGTCGTCACACAGACACTGATGTTATGCGTTGAGAGGACCCTGATAATGGTTGGTTTTAGCACGGATAGCACGGAAATACTCTGCGGCAACGGCCGGTTTCTACACAGCATCAGACAGCAACGCAATATACCAGAGCAGTCTTTTAGCCCACAGGCTGCGAAAAGATACATAGTAACCGTCTGCGGTTTAACGCGGTTCCTACGCAGGTATTTGGGGCCCAAGGTGTGTTCTATCTAGGCAATTACCCTAAACCTCAAACTGAGTGAGCCCTGGGCGAACGCATCGAAGCAGGCAGGCGAGGTAGCTCCGGAGCCCAAAGTCCTCGGGCTCGCGACCGGAGCTCCCAGTCCCACAAGCAGCTGTGGGCTGTGTCAGGTCGCCGGGTTTGGTTACTCCCAGCACTGCCCAGGGCCTCCCAGAGCCCGCAAGGCCTTCCCACACGTTCAGGCAAATCCAACATGTTCAAGGCTTGAAGGATTCCAGGCAAAGCTCAATCTCACAAAACAAGAAGCCTCGAGACAGACCCAGCCCAAACCTGGCACCCGCCCGGTATAGACAGGCGCCAGAAAACAAATATGAAAAACAGGACCGCCATCAGAGCTAACCTTTGACCCGTAAACGTCGAAGCGAGGGTGGGGCGCCAGCGGGGATGGGCTCATGCAGGTCCGGGTGCGCGATTGGGTGCTTCCAACACCAGCGCACTCCCTCACTGAGACACCCTATACCCTAAATTCTATGACCACCCCAGCCCAGGATGTATGGTAGTTTCCCAAAATAGGGCACACGAATATTGACCCCCAAAAAAACATAATCCCCAACAGGGTACCCCTAATTGTGCGAAACCCTAAACCCTAGACCTTGAACGATATCCAGGCCGTGGAATCTCCTCGTTCGCCTTCTACTCCCTCCTGTGGAGATCGTAGATAGCATCGGGGCAGGCGGCACCGACCTCGCCATGATCATCTTCAACAAATGGGGCAAGAAGCTGGGTTGCTGCTCAAGAACTGAGGTTAAGTTGTCAGAATATGAGTTTATAGAGGGGTTAGAGTTTTAGGGTTACCATAATATGGGTAATTATATAGTAAATACGGGTTTCCTTATTATAGTCACTAAATTTAAGTTCCTGAACAGCAATCCAGGAACGTGTGCTCCGCCGGGCAGGTTTGGATGGGCAGCCATGCAGATGCTTAGCTGTCGAATGGGTAACCTTGAACCCTTGCGCGAGATTTCAGGGTAACTCTAAAACCAAAACCATTCACTATTCACTTTTAGGGGTACTTCAAGGTAACATTGTAACCTAGACCCTTCACATTGGAAAAGCCATGGATGCTGCACACTTGAGGAAGTCAAGAAGGCGGTGCAGAACCCTCAGGCGCGGAATCATTGGTTGGGCGAGCACCCCTTGTATGCGAAGAATTTGCCTCATGGGGAGTCTGGTCGTTGCGTCTTCCTCCTCAGCCTTACGAACAAGGCCCTGGGAGGCACCGGGGACCACGAAGCCTTCCGACAGTGCATGATTGATACCTTGTTCACTCCGGCTTCAGTGACCAGGGAGACCGATGACCTCTCGATAAAGCTCATGAAGCAGTTGGCCGAGGCTTATGAGAGTATGGCCAACCACGCCTTCTTCTTCAGCAACGATGGCCAACAACTATTTTGGACCAAGTACTTGCACCACGTGCTCTTCGGCTTGGATATCGAGAGTAAGGAGGTGATGGACACGCTCAATCCGATGTTTGAAGGCGAGCTAGCGGTAGAAAGTCCTTCTTAGCGTCAAATGGGACCTTTGGTAGGACTTCTGAACCGGATTTGTCCCTGAAGCCTTTAATACTACTTAGACCCTTCACCTGGTAATATCCCTTAACCCTGAAGCCCAAGCACTGAGGAGGTTTGGGCCCAGTCATTTGGGCTTTTGTTGCTGCAAGTGCTCTGAACCCTAAACCCAGGCCAGGGGCACCAACTCACTGCCAGACGCCTCGCTAGGTCGTTTTGCGAGTGTTGTGTTACATCTAAGTCCTTGCAGCTTGTAAGGCCCAATAATGACGACCATAAGAATGATTCATAATGGCCCCTATGAAGCCACTTCCTAAGTGTCTCAGCTTTGATGCTGTCGCCTTCGAGCTTCGGCTTCTCGAAGACATGTGCCCCAATCTAGAGGCTTCAATGATTACCGCTGTTGTGGTCCTAGTTCCTTGTGTGGCTGTAGCCAGAGGCTGATGTTTAGGAGTTAGGGTTGAGGCCACAACATTCATTATCTGAATTCTGGCAAGGATGGAAAGCTGAATATTGGGGAGAATCTTGAGCCCTGTGCGCTCTACCACCGAAAGCTTGCAAGCCTAGTGCAGAAAAAAAAGGGGTCCAGTCATTTCCCGGTGTGCGAAAGAAGATTTTGGATGAGACCGCTCTAGATTGTAAGCATAAAGACCCTCGAGACAACAACAACAACAACAACCACCACCACCACCACCACCACCACCACCACCACCACAACCACAACAACAACAACTCTTTGCAGTCTCTTCCACGCCTACTGTCCCTTCATCGGGTACACCCATAGACCCAAGAAGAACGCTGATGACTCGGGCGAGGCAGGTGCACACTCAGGTGTTAACTTGTCTCCCCATTTTTGTTGTTGAAATGGAGAACACTGGTGTTTGGCCATATGCTAAACCCTAAACCCTAAACCTGCCTACCAGACAGGTCAAGGAGGCTTATCGCACTATCTTGAGCCCCTGGGCCGATTGCCATTTTTCTCCAACCACGCCGTCATCGACAAGGCTGCCGCTGCGGTAAACTTAGTGGTGGAGTAAATACACCCTAGTTTATACGGGCCCGCAACAGTCCTATCTGTAAGAATTAGGATTTATAGTCCCCCTTAAGTAGATAGAATGTGGGGTATATGGGGATCTTATTATAATGTACCCAAAGCCATATTCTATCTACTGAAGGGGGACTATAACTGGAGCTTGAGTTGAAGCATCATACGGAGAAGGCTTCGTGCTACACATGTTTTGCATTCAAAAATACGTAATACAATATGTATGAGGCCCTATGTCTAGAACGAAACCTGTGTTCAGAAGAGAGATCTCTCTTCTGTTCTCTTTAAAAATATCCATGTAAGAGCGGCCCTATCGCAAAAATCGAGAAGTTCGACACACAATGCGTTGGGGGGCCGGTCTAGAATTGAAGGAGCGCGTCAAAATCATATCAACAAAAGATGAGGTCTAGGTCTGTAGTACGTAAATGGGAACAAACCCTAAACCCTAAACCCTAAACTAAAACCGAAAACAAACCAAGACGAGGCCTAGGTCTGCAGTAAGCGTAAATGGGAAAATAAGTAACCCTAAGGGTCCATGTACCCAATAATTGGGTACTTAGGGTTCTGCGAATAGTAATTATAGTACAGGTTTTGGGTAAGTATATGATTATTAGGTACTTGGACCCTTAGGGTAAGGCTAAACCCGAAAATTAGAAAACATAGCAAAAACCTAGTCCCGCAGTTCTGGGGCCGCAGATTTCAAGTTTAACGAAGAGTTCACAAGTCTGGGGCTTCTTGTCTTCTCCACAAAATTCCTGAATAAATGTGACTCAGATTCCAACAGGAATGAGCAACTAGTCGGAACATCGCATGCATTGGAAGCCATGAGAATTGCAGAGAGAAGGGCCTTTTATTATATATATATACATATATACATACATATAAAAGAAGCTTAGACTTGAGAGGTCAGATCGAAATTAGATTTACAGCGTATTTAGTAAAGATTTCATACATAGAAACATAGGGAGAACAGGAGCCTAAGATCGAAGACATCTAAGAATTCCTGCTTACATCTGTAACACATGTCGCAATGATGTGCAACTTTCACAATTTGATATGCTGTCCTTAAGGAATGTGCACAGTCATGATAAGCTTGTCCCTTGGCATCAGTCGTGCCAGCATGTCAAGGAGCATGGGCCCACAACAGCCCCCATCTCAATCCCTTAAGCCCTAATCCCTAATCCCTACGCCCCAATCCCTAATCCCTAAATCCCTTACGGGTTATCAAGGGAACCATTCCCCCAAACCTCTTCAAGCTAGGGTTGACGGCTCGGGTTCCAGATCCGGGGTTCAGAGTCTGTGTCCTTTGTTATTTCCTGTGAGAAGGAGGCGCCACCACCAATAATATTAATACTAATGATACTCACCTTCTTAAAAACTAATAAGAGTAAGCAGACTAGTAATAATAAGAAAAATAATGATAGTGCATGTGAGCTGTGTAGCGGCGGATTGGTAAACGGGATTGCTTGCTTGCCATTGGGCACAGGACTGTCAGTATGAGGGAAAGGGCGGAACCCTAGGCGACTGGCTCTCGATACGACTGCCTGTAGAATCCGTCGTGCCTTAATAAGACCACGAACCTTCAACTCGAACCCAGCCATTGGAAGTTTCTGAAGTTTCAAGCATGGTGCAGCATCGCAGAAAGCATCAATGGGCCGTTTGTTTCAACAGGGCTTCCCAAGAAACATCATCTTCTGAAAGGATTTAAAGTGGGACCCGAAGTCAGACCCAAGGTTGATACAAACATAGAGCCCGTGCCTTCCCTATACATAAGTACTATTGTCCCTTCGACGGGCTTTCCAAAAATAAGGGTCCAACCTTAGGGTCCAATTTACAACTCCTTGATCCTTCATCCCTAAACCCTAAAACCCTAAACCCTAAAACCCTGAAACCCTAAACCCTAAAACCCTAAACCCTTGGAGGTGGGGGCCCTCTACGAGAAGTCCCCTGCCTTTGCCAACTTCCAGGCCAATGGGAATTGGTCACAAAGGGAGGGGTGCTGTGTTTGACTGGCGACGGTTCCTAGCGGTCCCTTTTCGTTTTCGGGGGTAAGATTCTAGAATTTTAGGGTAGGGGATGGGCATCAGCCTATACAGTATATAGTGCCCCACGGCATGTTCACATTGTTTAGGCGTCTTCGGTTGATCAGGTTTGCGGTTGAGGGCCTCCGCCGTAGTCTCGGCAAACTCCCGCTCATAGCACATAGAATTCCCTGAGGGTCCAAGGACCCAAATAATAGGGCTTTAGGGCCCAAATTCTATAACATTAAGGGTATTTGGCCCTAAAGCCCCATTATGGGTCCTTGGACCCTTAGGGATCCATTTAACTCTTCTATAGGCCTGAAACCCTGCAGTCCTAGGTGAAGCCGGAGTACAACAACATGACCGCAAAAGAGCTTGCCGTGCTCATGGTCTCGATCATGCGTATCGCTGGCGTTCAAGGCGAGGGTTTGAGGAATTCAGGGTCTACCCTAAATCCTATAACCTCTGTAGGGATGCTGCTGCTTATGTATGACTTGGGAGCTCAACTTCGACATCTCTCGTGGGCTCAATCTAATATACTTCCTGAAGCTTCCTGAAGGGGTTGCGGCGTATGGGAGTCGACCTTACACCTTGACGCCTAGCCTCAAGCCAGACCTACAGGGTGAGCCAGATTGTCCGACCTTCCTCTGGGCTGGACAATTTAAAGCGACCTCACCCTAAATGGTGGTTAATGATTTTTCCTACGACTCATTCACTGGGTCCCGCAGGGTACTTTAATGTAAGGAATAGTACCAAAATGACCTTAAATAGGGAATTGAAATTATTCTAAATTACCCTATCTGGGTGGAGGTCGAGACTTTTCCTGTGAGTTTGCATTTAACCTGGAGGTTAATGGGTGGTGAAGGCCGGGGCTAGAAGTCAGATCACTACAGATGCCTCTTGTTGTAATCCTTCTTTGGATGCGTCAACCCCTACTTACACAACTTATCATCTTCAAGTAGAGTCCATGCTTGTATAGGTTTGCCTTGAGGGCGTGTGTGCTTGCTTGATGTGAAAGATGTTTCGAGCCTTTAGTAAAACTACTTTCTGGAATGGCCATGTTTCGCGGCTGCTTGAATGAGGCCAGCGCGCGCATAGATATGGAAATTCTACTCTGTGTGCATAAGGGCATTGCGAAGACAACCCCACTCTTTGCAAGTAACGCAGTGCTATCCTCAAGCTAGCCCGTAAGTTCCAGAATCCACACTTTCTGTACTTCGCTCTTACTGGTGGTCGGTAGGGAAGAAACCACTAAACCCTAAACCCTAACCCTTCAACCCCTAACCCCTAAACCCCTAAACCCTAAACCCTAATCCCACAGTAAGTCATCCTGCGAGGTTCTCGCATGTGTCTTTGGTTGTGCGCCTCGGGGGACTCGCACGGCAGCCTCACGATGGACCCTCGCCCCTTCTGGGACACGCTCAACTTGGACGATGAAGATGAAGTTCTGAGGCGGTGATGCCCGAGCATGGAGGGACCATAGTAATAATAAAGATAGAAATAACAGTAATAGTACTAATAATGGTAGTAATAGTAATAGTAGCAATAACATGAGGCATGATAAGCTTGAATCACTACTGCGGTTCTTCCTCCTAATAAAGTTGCATTTGAGCTAGTCATGTATCAGTCCAATACCAGATACCCCGAGGTCCCATTTACAGGGTCCCCAAAAAGTTAACCCTGTTTCTATGAGCCCGCAGGTACATTCTTGAAGTCACTCGCCTTTCCCCACCGGTGACTATTTCCAGCCGTATTGCTACGGAGGACTTTTCTTGCGAGATTTCGGGCAAGACCTACAACTTTCCCAAGGGCACTTCATTGTTCAAGCTGGCATCGTTTTTCTTTAGACATTCATTTTATATGAGTATGACAAGTAGCTCTGTTTCGACTTGAAGTCTCTTACCCAAAGGTACTAATATCGGAATCCCTTTGGTGTATGCAAATGTTGACGAGACCGTTTCTGGGCTGTTGTTGCAGTACATTTTGTATTGTTGTGTATACACAAAGAAAATATTGACTGTTAGTAACACCGGATGGACACACTCCTGCATCACCCTATGCTTAAATCCGGGGAAATATGCTGTTTAGGGTCATGCAGATTTTTGCACGTCAACGGTACTGGAATCTCCATAAGCAGGGGGCCGCCTATATACCCCAATATACTGTAGTCCGTATTATGAGTACCAGGCCCAACAAAAGACCCTTGACTTTCAGAGACCTTAAGCCCCATATTAAATACCCCTTAACCCTTTTCATTTCTATGCAGCTTTCCTTTTTTTGAGGACCATCCTTGACCCTCTACAATGCTTATATGGGGATTTCCTTCAATTCATTGTAAATAATGCCCAAAGTGGGGTTCCAATTCTGATACAGGTCCCTGCATGAATGTTCCCCAGTTCTGGGAGCAGTATTTAAAGCCAAGTCCTGTATGGGCTTCCTACACCCTAAGCCCTAAACCATAACATAATCCTTGTACAGGGTTCTTTTCTCCTAGGCCCTAAACCTCATAATCCCCAAGCCTAAGCCCTAAACCCTAAGCCCCCTACAAACCACCATATGATCCCGCTTGCAACCCTAAACTCTAAACCCCCATATCCCTAGGTTTGGGGAGCAGATGTGTTTGAGTTCAACCACAATCGACCCGGCCTGGCAGAGCCTGGTCTGATAGGGCCATGTCGGGTTTAGGGTTTTTTGGTTTAGGGTTTTAAGGCTTAAGATTTGGCAGGTTCAGGGTTTCAGGGTTCAGGGTTTTAGAGTCTTGGGCTTTTGAGTTTGGAGGTTTAGGGTTTAGATAGGGTTTAGGGTTCAGGGTTCAGGGTTTGCCAATGTGCCGCGCACGCCACCACGCGGGACGTGTGTTATGCTGCGCGCCTGCGTCCAGTGGTCCCTCCCAACCCACCCACCCACCCAATTCTCAACCTTAATGGGTTGAGGGTTTCCTATTACATGTTGCGGGGGCAGTCCTCCTCAGATTTCTTGGTTACTTGACAGCCAATGCCAAAGACCTGCTGTTACATGGCTCCGAAAAACACAAATAGCTCCGTAGGTCTTTCGGTTTAGGCAAATTTGCAGACTGCATGAGTGCCTCAATCAAGTGCAATTAAATGCACGGGCTCAGCTGCTACATCATTGGCCGTACATCTCGAGAACACAATGATTATATCCATATAGGTTTGGGCAATGCCTGCCCTGCCATCTGGATGAGTGCCCAACCAAACATGTATAAGAATGTTGGCGAAGAGGTTATGCCACCTGTTCGTGGCTGGACCGGCATACTAGACCCACAGGCTGCGGACGTGCAGGCGTGCGTCTCCTGTGCTCGCACACGGCCCAAAAATGCCCATCATATCCATAAGTTTAGACTACGCCTATAGGTTTAGGCAATACCTGCACTCTGACTTGGCACTCCCCAAAAGCATGTATAAGACGTGCATGGAGCAAAAAGGACGTACTAGATCCATAGGTTTGAACCATGCCTGCGCGCATCTCGTCTGCTCACACATGGCCCCAGAATGGCGCATAAGATCCATATGAGGCAATGAATGCACGCGGTCCGGACGGCCACTCCAATCTGCCGGCCACTCTAGACAGTGCCTGCGACGGCCGAAACATTGCGTCCCTGGCCTGCACAGCCTGTACATGACTCGAAAAACACATACTCTAGATAATGCCTGCGATGGCCGAAACATTGCGTCCCTTGCTTGTACATGACTCGAAAACACAGACTATACGGAAAACATACGCCTTTCATCGGTTTCGATTTCTCGCGCGGAGACCAAGGCCTCCTTAATCTGGTCGACGCTCGGAATGTGGAGAATTCTTTGGCTGCCGTGACAGCACTTAAGCGAAGGACGGCTGAAAGGTTCTTACAGGCCTGGAGTGTGGTTGCCCGCATGCAGTCTTTTCGGAACAACCTTCCTATGGGCCCCGGGCGCGATATCCCAAGCACAACGGGCTCCTCACAAAACCTGACGGGTTCACTTCCAACGGTGGGTTTTGGGCTTGCAGTGGTTTCAGGTCCTGTAGATTCACTGGGTACTCTGGTCAACATGTGCAAATGTGCTGGCAGGGCCAGTGTTTTGTGCATGCGCACTGACGGCAA